GGGTTTGGTACAACCTGAGGTATCATATATCGCTCCAGTCCAAAATCTGCAAGCTGTGGACTCCGCAGAGGTTCCTCAGAAACAGAACTGCCTGGGATAGGCAGGTCAGATGGGTCGTCCTTCATATCAGACTTTGGAATGCTGTCGCCACTAGCCATCTCTTGGGTAGAGCCAGAGATTTCCTGCTCAGAAACTAAAAGAAAACTCAAAAAGGTAATATTGTGATCAAACCTCAAAACAGAAAATCTCATTCATTTATTAAAACAAGATTGCTCCATCTGAAATTTCCCAATCAGCAAAAATCCTGATTCTCTATAAAAATTCTATTTTAAGTGTTCCTTCAGTATGTTTCTGACATACATCTCTTGTCTACTTGTATTCTATTTTTTTGTTTTGTTTCTTTGGAGGTTGAGGTCTCACTATGTTGCCTAGGCTGCCCTTTAATTCCTGGACTTGAGCAATCCCCTCCTGTCTCAGCAACTGAGACTACACGTGTACCACAGCATCCCTGCTCTTGTACTTCATTTTGATGTTAGAGAAGGAAGGCAAACTAAAGTGTTAAAAATGAATACATGGTGGCATATGCCTGTAATCCTAGCACTCAGGAGGCTGATGTAAGAGGACTACCCTGAGTTCGAGGCCAGCCTGGGCTACAGAAGTGAGTTCAAGGTGAGCCTATACTTCAAAGTGAGACCTTGTCTTAAAAAAACAAAGAATTAAAAAAGAAGGGCTGATATAGTTACATTCTTTTAATTAATAGAGCGATCTGTTCTAATGGTGTCTGTAAATAGGATATCATGTCTGCATCTTGTACAGCAATTAACCACTAGGAAGAATGTATGCAATGTGTTAATTATTGAAACTGTCCTACCAATTTGGTTTGAAACTGTCTCATTGCTATTTGTTTCTCAATAAAATTATGCAAAAAACAAAAAACAAAAAAGAAAAAAGTAAAAAGAAAAAAATTAAGCTTTATTGTAAAGAAAAGTTAATGTTTAATTATTTGACCAATCTTGCATACTTATATATGGTAATTGCAGCAACAGATTTGAGAGTAAAAATATGTAATATAACAACCATGGTTAATTTTCTATCCTTGCTTTGAAATTCTGGGTCAAATGTATTGTTCTATGTTGTTCTGTCTCTTCTTTTACTCTTTAAAATAAAATAATAAATAAAATCTAAATCTAAAAAAAAAGAAGGGCTGGGGGATATAGCTCAGTGGCATAAGTGCCTTCCTGGCAAGTGCCAAGGTCCTGAGTTTGATCTCCAGTACCGCAAAAGAAGGGGAAAAGGAATGGGGGCGGGGGAAGAGGGGGGAAGAAGAAGAAGAAGAATCAGTATCTGTAAGCAAAGTCCAATTTTTCTCCTTCTTCAATGTGATTTACCTCTCTTAGTATTCTCAGAAAATTTTCTATCATTAATTTTCTTCACTAATGAGGTATAGAATCAACTCTTCTAAATTTAACACAAAGCATAAACATAGCATTTTAGACATTTAACTTTTATATGCCTAAAATAAAAATGGAAAATTACTTTATGGGGCCAGGAAGATGGCTCAGTAGAATAAGTGCTTGCCTGGCAAGCACAAGTGCCTGAGTTCAACCCCCAGTTCCGAAAAAAAAAAAAAAAAAAAAAGAAAAGAAAAAGTACTTCCTGATATCAGTATGGAATACACACATCAAAAATCTAATTTGGGGGCCGGAGAGATGGCTCAGTAGAATAAGTGCTTCCCTGGCAAGCACAAGGGCCTGAGTTTAACCCCGGTTCTGAAAAAAAAAAAAAAAAAATCTAATTGGGTTGGGAATGGCAGCCCATGCTTATAATCCTAGCACTCAGAAGCCTGAGGCAAGAGGATCATTGTGAATTCAAGCCCAAAGTGAGCTGAAGGCCAGTCCGAACTGCATAAGAAGACCCTGTCTTGGGGCCAGGGGAGTAGCTTAGTAGAATAAGCGCTTGCCTGGCAAGCTTAAGGGCCTGAGTTCAATCCCTGGTTCCCCCAAAAGAAAAAAAAGGAAGACCCCCGTCTCAAAAAGCAAAACAAAATCTAAGTGAGAATATAATAGAGCATTTCAAAAAATATGTACTTTTTGAACTGTGAATTAGTTTTATACTTTTATTTCATGGCTTGTGGCCTTAGGAGAGCTCTGGATTTACTGAGTGTTCATTTGGTATTGTGCTTTTGTTAACTGAGAAGCATTGTATGAGTTGTCCAAAACCTGTTGTTTTATCACAGGGCTGCAGGGTTGTCCCTTATCAGACTTTTGCTGTTGTTTTTCGTGATGCTGGGGATTTAGCACAGGGCCTCATACATAGTATGCAAGCACTCTCCATTAAGCTACACCTCCAGCACCACTGACAAGATCAAAACAAGACCATCATTCTCACTACTTGATAGGGACACATCATTGCACTCACTTGACAAGTGAAGAAAAGCAATTTAGAGAAATTATTGCAGGTCATACATCCTCTCACCGATAGAACCAGTATCTGAATCAATGACTCTTTCATAGCAAAGACAATTGAATTCTTCCTTTTATTTCTTGCGGACTATTTAAGATACCTTCACACACATCCTTAGTAAAGACTTAATGTCTTCTTTATGTACAAGGATCATTTTCATCATATACTGAAGGCACTGAAGCTAGTCACTCAGAGGTATGGGTTGAACAGTAATAGTAGCTAATGTTGGCTAAGTGATATGCCAGGCACGTCAAGTCAATTTTATCTCATTTAGATTTTATCTCACAACCCTATGAAGTAGCTATACTACACTTCTTCATCTTACAAATGGGAAACTACAGCACAAGATTAAGGACTTCTCAAGGAACCTTCACACTGGGGCTTTCTTCTTTAATTCCAAACCAAACGCTATAAAATAAGTCAAACCTGTTTCCTTGACACGTGGATTGTATCCATACATCTGGAAAAACTCTCTTATTTTTATGATATCCACTTTATTTTTTTTCATCAGTACTTTTGTTGCTTTAATAAAATCAATGCTTTCTTGACTTTCCAATCTTGCTTTATCAAGAAGAATATTAACATCATCCTTTGATGAAGAAAGAAAATACATTATAATTTCTTTTTTATGTTGCAAGGCATCAAACTGGTAGCTTTTTGCATGCAAGGCAAGCACTCCACACCTGCCCATAATTTCTCTAACTTCTGATTACATTTACTTGGGCTAGAATTGTAGGATTGATACCTTCAGAGCCTGGACTTCTGAATGAAGGTCATGTAAAATCCCCAGTGGATAATCTTCTAAGTCTTCAATATACATGTGAAGAGAGAAAAAAAAAAAAAAAATCCAATAAATATGAGAAATAGGAGAAAGAAAACTTAGTACACTTTCTTAAAATTATATGGTCACTGTAGACATTCAGACATTCTTTTTTTTTTGTGGTACCAGGGATTGAACTCAGGACCTTGTACCTGCCAGGCAAGTGCTTATTCTACTAAGCTATCTCCCCAGCCTTTGTAGACATTCTTATAATTTATTTGTT